ACACACACACACACACACACACACACACACACACACACACACACACACACACCTCCCTGATCCATTTCAACAGTGTGAGTTTTGTGACTGTGAATAGGATAATGTGAAATTGTTGGTGCGGACCATTGGGTTTTCATTTCCTTAATTCGGGAGTGTGCGGGAAGGTCCGAGCTTTTGGTACAAGCAGGCCCCACATGTGTTGATTGTATTTCACAGCCAGGAGAAAGAGAGAGAGAGAGAGAGAGAGAGAGAGAGAGAGAGAGAGAGAGAGAGAGAGAGTGGGGAGGGGGTGGGAGCTGTAGTGATGGTGGTGCTTGTGAAGGATGGAGCATCTCAGCAGCAGCACGAGTAAAGCTGTACTCTAATCCTCGCATTAAAACCTCTGCTGATTCACTATGACAGATTACTGACATTTTCCCACTTTCCTCTCTGGTCCCCATTCTGCACGATGACTAGTGTGTGCCCTGAACAATTTTCATTATTATCTAAAAGAAAATGTACTTCTCTGTTTCTAATTTAAACAAAATCACCTATCAATACACAAAGCTGCTGAACTAAAAGGAAAAAAAAAAGTGAGCCGAGAACCTCCCACGCAGAGGTTTTACATACTGCACGCCTCTCACATTCGCCCTGGGGGTCCCCTGTCCGCTCTTCTTGCTTTCAAACCGCAGCTCAACTCCTGCCTCTCAATCTAAATATAGCGCCTGGAATGTTGTTGAAAGGATTACCAGGTCCTTCAAAGTCATTAGACACCATTATCAGAAGCCTCTACGCTCTTGTGCTCACAGCGCAGGTGTGATAAAGAAACTGTTGCAGACTGGTTGCTGACTGGATGCAAATATTTGCCTTTTTATGACTCTGTTAGACTGGGCTGATTCCTCTGAAAAAGCAAAGTTAACATTTAACTACTGAGCTGCACAAGTAAACAGCTGTAGCCAACACAAACAAATTACATAAAAAGATGCTCTCATTAACTTATTGTCGCGGCAAAACGGACAGAAAACACGTTGAAAGGATGTTAAATAGACAGTCTTGCGGGTATGGTCGTAAAATCATTTATTAATATGGGCAACATTAAACAGAAAACAATCAGGAAGTCTGTCAGATGTGGCCGCCCGACTGAGGGCGGAAGAGAAATGTTATACCTTCAGCTATCATCATGTGATAAAGAACAACCAATCACAACCTGCCTCTTGTCCCTAACAGCCAATGACAAGCTCTGAATCCCAAGGTGACCATATCGGTACGTGGAAAGAGGCCATCTTGATTCCGTGTCTTCTGACGTCCGGAGCCACCGATTAAAGAAACAGTCATAAGATATGACAAGATACGAACAGTGAACAGTGTCAAGGTGATAGAAATAATTAGTCCACCACACTTATATTTCCTTTTTTTTTTGGCCACCTTTTTATTACTTACAACCAGAATCAACCTAGCATTACAGAAGCAACTGAAAGTTCTTGAAATGACAAATGACAGCCAGATTATCCACTTCATTTAAGATTACAATTTGGAAGACTACATTTTCTATTTGCACAGTATCACTACAGCTGTTTTATCCTTCTAAAAAGATACAGTTGAAGAGGCACAGCATTAAAGATGACAAGTCTGGGAGCATAAAGTTTCAGGATGAATCTCCTTGGAAGTGAAATAGTTTGCACTTTCACAAAAGCTGAACAAAACCTGTGTTTACAAATAGACATCACTGCTCCGGTGATTACATTGTGTGTCATTCCTCACCTCGGCGTGAATTTCAGATGAGCATTAAAGCTTGACTGAGCCTGGATGAAGCCGGTCTTTGGTAGAATCTCCATGTGTTTCCTCATTTCTGGGCGTACATCGAAGGTCAGTTTCAAAGCGGTGCTCGCTCTACAATGCAAAGCACAGCTTCATTAGCTAAATGCTTGTGCACAAAGTGTTTTCTTACAGGAGAGGGGACATGCAGGACAAAATATGCAGCTAAAACTAGCAGGAAATGAACACAACACAAGCTGAAAGACAAGCCTATGTTTGAAAATGGCCTTTTTAAAAAGAAATGACCCTAAGTTCAAATCAGGACGTTTTATTTCCGGGTGCTCTAATGACTGTACCAGTGTCTACAAACCTTAGTTATAAAAGAAGCTTGTGATTTAAACGGCTCTTCATTCTGGGAATTCGCTAACACATTCAACAACAAGTTACACCTTCAAAAATGGTGAAACAAGCTGAAAATAAGTGTTTACTGAAGGTGAGATAAGTGTGATACCATTTTTGTGTTTGCAACCATCTTCAATGACAAACAGATGAGCCAGCAGCCGAGTATACGGCGGGAGTCCTCAGTTTTTGATTCCCCCCTCCATTTAAATGAACCACTTAAATCGCCAGGTCAACCAGATGGTTGCTTCCCTGAGGCAAGGACAAAAAGGGACACTTGGGACATACTGAGTCACTATCTTTACCCTCACTAAACGATAACCTTCAAACAATTCTCGGAGGAAAATTTATAGATGCATCATTTTGGGCAATCAGGCATTTTAATTAACGGGCATTTAGCTTCTGACCATTTTTACTGGCAGGCTGTGGTTATTTTTTTCTTGAACAAATGATTAAACATGTAAGAGATAAAGTGGCTGCATCACTGCTTCTTTTGGATAAAAGTGCATTGAAAATTTGCACTGTTGTAAATATAGACATGTGAAACCAAATGCTGACTTTTTAAAGTAGACAAGACAAGATGCTAATAAAAGTATCCAGGAAAGACTTCATATTCCACTATCATGCATCTGAGGCAGTTTTAAACCCTAAAAACTCATCTTCAGTTAAAACAATTTGGTCAGAGCTTCACATATGTGTGACTCCCGTTCTCACAAACTTCATAAACTGTGTGGAAGAACACAAAATTCACAGCTTTTTTTGGATATTTCTTTTGGGTTTGGTTTAGTCAATTATGTTTGCAATCTTACCCCTGAGTTGAAACACATAATTTCACATTATTGGAGTTTCCAAAACCAAATTTGATTATCCTCCTGGTTTCTTAATCTGAAGCAATTCACAATTCACATGTTAAAGTAGATGATAACCATTGCTTAGTTTCAGTGTTCCCTTTCTATGGCATGTTATGAGGGTCAAAATTACTTTAAGACTATTGCACAACCAACAGTTGCTACATCCGTGTAGCAGGAGGCTTTATCTATTCCTAAGCTAGCTATTGATCTGATTAATGATAGGCTGGCACTGGTAACTGAGAGGCTAGCAACTAGCATGGATAAGATAGCGTTGGTCACTAGCCTAGTCAAGCTAGTCGCTAGCCTCTTCGATGCTAACACCAGCTTATACATGCTAGTTGCTAGCCTCTCCAATGCTAACACCATCTTATCCGTGCTAGTCGCTAGCCTCTTTGATACTAATGCCAGCTTATCCATGCTAGTTATTAGCCTCTTTGATGCTAACGCCAGCTTATCCATGCTAGTCGCTAGCCTCTCCAATGCTAACACCAGCTTATCCATGCTAGTCGCTAGCCTCTCCAATGCTAACACCATCTTATCCGTGCTAGTCGCTAGCCTCTTTGATACTAACGCCAGCTTATCCATGCTAGTCATTAGCCTCTTTGATGCTAACGCCNGCTAGCCTCTTTGATACTAACGCCAGCTTATCCATGCTAGTCATTAGCCTCTTTGATACTAACGCCAGCTTATCCATGCTAGTCATTAGCCTCCCTGATGCTGACGCCAATTTATCCACGCTAGTCGCTAGCCTCTCCGATGCTAAGGCAAATGAATACTGTTGTATTGTTGTGCAATAGTCTTATTTTTGGCCCTTAAACCACGCCATACCTTTCTTATCTCGATTTTCGGATATATACAAATACTGTCTCTATGTTTTTACAGTTAAAGGTGAATCAAAAAATTTATCAGAAAATAGATTACTAACGCAGTCTTTAACTGAATTTGTTACAGCAACCAACTGGCATCACAGTGCAGCGCTGTCTACTTTTCACAGTCCATACTTCAAAATAATACACGAGAAGACTTGATTATCTATTAATAGCTGTCATTGTTTTTATAAATAAAAAACTGTACAATCAAAATCAACAACTCATCCCATTTCTCAGACCAAAAACAAACAAACAAAAAACAAACAAACAAACAAACAAACAAACAAACAAACAAACAAACAAACAAACAAACAAACAAACAAACAAACAAACAAAAAAGACTCAAGCTGCACTTAGATAAAATGTAGCTGGCACATTTAAAACATGGTTTTCATATACAAACTAAGAACAGAAGAGATGATTAGTTGTGTTTCTGTGGCCTGAGTTTGGGAAAGAAAACAGCTTCAACCCGCAAACGGACAAACTGATGCCAGCTGGGGCTTCAAAGTCAAGGCTGACTGTTTCAAATACGGTATGAATATAAAAACTCTGCCAACTGTGTTCAGACTGTTCAAATCATTGGCTAACGGGCAAAAGTCAAAAACTGCACATCTTAAACCCTCTTAAAAATACTTTCAATTAGTTGTAGTGATATTTAAATCTCTGGCACACTGGAGAGATGGACACATTCAATCATGCTTTGTGCTCCTCTCTTAACAAATCTGCCACAAACTAAAGAGGGCTTGTGGGATATCTATCTATTCAAAGAAAAAGAAGTGACAAATGAAGTGATGAAAGCAGCAACTCCCTTATTGTTCCTCTCAAAAACCTGCCATATTATTTTGTATTCAGATTGTTGTCTTGGCAGCAGAGTGACATATTGCATAGTTTGCTGGTCCAAGAATTAGCATTTCTTTACTTGAAAAGCTGCAGTTCATACTGACACTGTCATCATCATCATCATCATCATCATCATCATCATCATCGTGTTGTCACATGTGCTGGTGTGTCAGCGCACCAGATGGCAGTTGTCACAAATCCCCACCCCACCCCACACACACTCCTTCCCCCACATGATATGACACAATGACTGCCTAGGTGATGGACCATACTTCTGCAAATGTTGTCCCCCATGGTTTATTCTTAACCTTTTGGTGTGCATCATAATGTATCACATTCATAATCGAAAAGGATTTACTTCATTTCTAAAATGCTGTTAGAAAAAGAATCAGTGTTGGACGGTGGGAGAGGGAGCTTACGGTTTGGTCCCTTACACCATCATCTGTTTCTAAACATTTATCTGCTGCATCTCTATTTTTATTTCATCCGCGCATTTGTTTAATATCCCATTGTGCTGCTGGCTCTGGGAATAGTTGGAGAATTTAATATTGGGTTGAAATGTAAGAATTCTATGTCAATGTGAGGGGATTTCCACAAGCTGTTATTCACTGACAATGATTGTTCTTGCAGAAAATGAGTATGGGAAGGTGTTTTAGTATTGTTTCTAGCAGGGAAATCATCAGCACTTCATCAGGACTGCATGTCCTTAGCATGACAAGGTGTAAAATAGAAATATGACATATACTACTAATTTCTTCAAGAAAATTGGTCTAAAAATACCAGAAGGTTAAGGTGTAATTTTCTTTTCTGAAATGATGCAAAAAACAAGGGAATGATTAATTGTGAAATTATATTACAATAAAGTGTGTTCATTTTTTTTCTATTAATAGTCTTTTTTGGCTCATTTTTACATTTAGTTTTCAACTTACTGAAGCATAATTTAACTTTGTTTTGTAAGCCTGATATTAGTTTAGTAGTTTAGTTTGGGACTCACCTGCTTTGGACTACGATACTGTCCTGATAAAGGCGGTCAAACATGCATATTTTCAGGTCAACGTTGGGCTGAACCACCCATACTGGGATGCTGACTGCCACACCTCTCACCAGGACAGGTATCTGTTTGAATCAGTTCACAGGAAAAAAGAGAAAACAGAACTTAACTCTATAACACAGTTATAAGGAACTGCAAAAAATCATTTTAACTTTGAGCAATATTACCAAAATATCTTACTGGTTTGATGTTTTTATCAGAGAATTTGATGAAAAAGTCCAGTTTTGTCTCTCCTGGAAAGGTTGGAGTAAATATAACATCTAGTTTGATGCACTGAAATGGTCCGATCTCTCCACTTCTTACCTGAGCAGAAATACATCCAAAATGACAGGAACACGCTTTACCCTAAAAAACTAATTATTAAATCATATCTAAAAGTTATGATAATTATCGGCATTAAAAATCAAACTGTTGAAATAAAAACACATTCCTAACTCAGCTGCTGCTTCGAACACATTTTTGATTTTGAAAACTTAGACTGGCTTTATATGTGTAGCACGTGAGTTGTAATCGAGGGACGCTATGGGTTTTATTCCAGCTCCTACGTTAGCAGATTAGACCACAAACGGCAGATTAGAATGTCTGGTTTGTGTCACAGGCATCTCTTCTGCAGTTTGAGTCACAGGCTATATCAAGTTCCAATATGATGCCTATTTTCATGTGTAAAACAAACATAGGGGAAGCTGTTCTCATGAAAATGCATAAAACAGTTTTTTAAATTATCTGTTTAGGTGCAAGTTTGTTTAGCAACAAAATCACTGACAGTGTAGATTTGGCTGGATAAGATTAAAGTCACTGTAGATTAAATTAAATCACTGCAGTTGAGGATGAAACATTATAGCATACAAGAGATGTATAACGTTCTTTGAGTTCTCCAAAGAACATTGAGCTGAGAGCAACATAAAACCAAGAGAAATCAATAAGCTGTATTTCTAGATGATGCAGCAAGTGACTCAATTTTGTGAGACCCTGATATTTTTATAAATAATCTGCTATTTAAGACACCAAATTTCAACAACTCAATGTGCACTTATTAGACAAGACAACACCATCAGAGCTAAGGGCATAAAGACAAATGCAACACACAGAACTGGCACAGAAGGAGAGGTGATGCACCATTAGACCCCTGCTAGAGAGACGTAATGAACCCTGAGCAACTTCACGGCTTCACATTAGGCACAAAACGTTAAAAATTCAATTCAATTCAGTTTATTTATATAGCGCCAAGTCACAACATACGTTGTCTCAAGGCACTGTACATGAATGTCATACATGAAAAACAAAACAGAGTCAGAGTCCTCTGCAGACAGAGAGTAGCCACAAAATCCCATCAATACACCCAGAATCGATTTTCAATTCTTCTGATACGACTTGGAGGCAGGGTGAACCCAAATGCAGGCAGACTAGAAAGTTTAACAAAAAATTTATTAATTTAAATGTCAGCGTGGTGGCAAAAACTAACAAGAAACAGAGAAGCCTGGGCAGAACAAGAATCCAACAGGGACATACAAACAATGATCCGACACAAGACTGAGACAGGACAGGGCTTAAATACACTGACAACAATTACTAAACAGAAAACACCTGAGGAGAAACACGAGGGTGACTAATCAGACAAATAAGGGGCAGCTGGACAGACCTGAGGAAGAAAACAGGAACATGACAGAAACTAAAAATAAAACAAACACAGACAAAAATCATAACATCTTCAGGAAGACTCATTTTTTTTTCAGTTTCTCCATCATCAACACTGAGTGTGCAACAAATGAAACTTGTTTCGTTTTGGCTCAGAACAGTTTAATGTTGAAGGATGTAACAGAAATTGCTTAGTTTTATCCAATTAAATCGTTGATTAGCTCAAAGCAGTTGTACTAAAATTGCTGATTTCTGCACAGCTTATTATAGCATCAGTACCAACAATTGGAACTGGCAACACTTGCATGAATACTTACAGTACATATAGCTGGCCAAAGATTGTTTGTTTATTTGTTTATTTATTTGATCCCCATTAGCATCAGCAGCATGCTGCATCAGCTATTCTTCCTGAGGTCAATTTTATATATATATATA